TGGAAGGGCGAGTCGGGGGGGGGGAGAAATGCTACACGTGTCTACGAGCATCCGCTGTGTGGGTGCATGCGCCGCGTAGACGGGGCGAAATCTTCCAAATGGTCCCAGGAGAGATATCGCGGGGCATCAATTGAGATAATGGCGCGAGTGATCTAAGAAGATCCGCGAAGAAATCGGTTTCGTGCCCCGGCACGGTCTCTCCGAGCGATATCTCTCTCTCCGCGAAAATGTCACGGGATCAACCACGATGCATATTCAGCGGAATAAATCGTACTTTAATGAAGGGCGCCGACGTCTCTCGGGACGCGACGCGAAATGTACACCGCCGAGGGCGAGCTCGCGGTTAATTGGAACCGAAGAGAGATGAGAGACGAAGAGCACTCGGGCTGCACGGTTGTTGGCTTACCTCGCGACGATTGCTCGATTATTTTCGATAGCTATGGCGTTTTTACGCCAAACTGTTACACTGTCGAGAAATCATGTACCGATTGACAGTCATTTTTTGTTCAGTTTCCTGCGCAAATCTTTTTTATTGTGATAGCTCAGATTTCAGAAAACTTTATCAACGATGCAGTGATGTAGATGTATCGAAATGTAAAATATACATATATTACATAACGATATTTTTACATTACATCTTTTTAGACGATGTGAATTCGTGTATGTTTTTTAAGTTTGTTAGCGCAAATCACTTATTTAGATAGAAATATATTTATCATGTTGGAATTTCAATGGGATTAATGCAATGTCGAAATGGTATTATGCTGAAGGACTTATATATGCGGTATATACATGCACATATATACATATATATCGTAATCCGACATCCGACGTTCTTGGGGCGCTGTGCATTTCAAGACCCGCACTTGGTACTGAGATGACTAATATACGTATTTAAGGAACTGGAATGTACACGTAATTAAATTGGTTCTCGTTGAAACATGTCCAATTACTAACAACTCATTACACAAAGTAGAACTACGAATGCTATTTTCCAATTAATCGATGCATTTTATTTTGTGGATTAAACTGATATATTTTATTTATAATTTATAATTAGTTGCGAAATATATCGTGTCAACCAGCGTAAATTGTGGAAAAAAAATTTAATCACCTAATAAAAAAGAATTGAATTTGATTTAACGTACGCAAATATTTTGAAATCATGAAAATCGCAATAAATAAATTGTATAATTTAGATGCATATATATTATTTTATTTAGAAATAAATTTTCTCTATTACTAATATATTTTAAATCAACTGGAGAAAAATAATCAGTTATCTTAATTGTCGCAAAATTAAATATTGAAGAATTTTGAAAAATAATTTTCCGAGCTAAAAAGGTAACTAAGGTTGTGCGTGCGTGCGTGCGTGTGCGTCGTACAATATATATATAAATACACTACGCGGATGAGCAAACACACAATGTAGCGCATGCACTCTTGGGAATTTCAGAATCGAGTGAAGGCGAGTAGTTTAACGATCGTCTCTCTTGTTACGACAATCGAGGGTACCCAATGACGCGTTAAAATAAGAGGGCAATTGTCTCGTTTCAAAATAATAAAACTTGTTGATAACGATGTTATATGCTATTCCGCCGAGATTGCAGCTGTTGCGCGTGTCCAAGAAGCGTCGTACAATTGATCGCGTTCGTTATATACGAAGCTTAGTGGAGATAAAAATATTGCATCGATAAACTCTCAATAGAGTTTTAGAGTTTCTTTGTGCACAGTTAATCACAGCGTTATTTATTGTAACATTTTCCTCATTATATAAAACTTTATGCACAGAAGCGTAATATTGATACAAGACAGATTAATCAGTGATATTAATAAATAATAAATCGCTTACGCGCGATATTACGGCGCAATTTATTAACATTAATTCGCGAAAACAATGTAATATATTATTATGAAAACCGAAAACATTAACTTACAATGATTAATAAATGAAAGATATTCTGTTATGATTGTAGACCGGTTTGTTAAATGGCGTGTTGACAATTTTGTCCAAACGTTACAAAACTGTCGCGGATGATCGCGCGCGATCAAAATTGAACGAACGACATTAATAATGTATAACGCACATCCCCGTACAGTGAACGCGGTCGTATTATACGCCCCATGATGCAATAATACGCGAATATGCAGTGCAAAATAAACATTAAACCTCAATTGTACGCAACGCAACTTTAATGAATTTAATGTGCATATTGATATCGCGCCGATACGTATGCTAACCCGGATAAACACTCATAATTATGCGAACATTTACGTATAAATCGAATCCGCTTGGTGTCCGATGTACAATATTCCAGAAACCGCGCGATTTGACACAAGTCGGATAATATAATTGATGTAGATCGACTGAGAAATGAGTTTTGCATAATTAACACATAATTATTCACTTTAAATGTTGTATGGCGTTTGTTTTTGTAGATTTATGCGTATACGCGGAACGAAAACCGATTGTCGAGTGCGAGCGTGGAAGTACGACAAATTGGCCCTACACCATTTACACACAAAGACAATTATTCCATCAGCACACTTTATTATCGCCCGCACACTGTGCAAAGTGTTAATGAACCTACAGACATGCATTTCCTTTCACGAAGCAAGCAACAAGGTTGAGACAATGCAAACGAATTCACAAACGGTCTCGTCGACGCCCAGAGAACAAACAATAACTGACGCCGGCTCACTCGTTTGTATTTGCAAACAGTTACAGAGGAAGAAACACTTCTTGCTCAACGCAAACCATCCGAAATTACTGTTTCGACAGGCTTGTTCGGGATATTTTAGCCAACATATTGCAAAATTATAATTTATATCACAATTGCTTATAAATCACAGAAAATGTAAGTTTGGAAAATAAATGCTTCAAATTACGATAAAATTTGGAGTCGATTTCATTAAAAAAAATGTGAATTACAACGATACCATTAAAGAATTCAATTTAACAAATGGAAAGCATTAATCGATTGGTTAAATAAGTATATTTTATAATCTCACACACACAATATCCTTGGAAGAAGAGAGATTTACTTGTAATAGTTACCATATAATACCATATGATAGGTTTTACAAATTTTTTAGTGGTCAGAAATCTAAACTCATTGTGCTTAGTTAAAACATTCGCTATTAACGTTGCAATAAGCATAATCTCGAGCAAACAACTAAACTTAAATGATGGTTTTCCGCTGCAAGTGTTCCAAACTCGAATTTCCTGCCAAGCGAAGATTGAACATTTGACTTTCCATGTACCTCCAGTACTTGAGTAGGTCGTTAAAGTTTAACGATCCGTTAATGCTTGTCGAAGATAATACCCAAAACAATTCGCGGCAAATCGATGAAGTTTAACGGTGCCATAAATATTTTTTTGTAGTTTTATTATGAAAGTGCCATTTAGAAATCTTATTTTTAGCGAAACGTAAAATCTATCGATCATGCTGGAGAATTTTCCTAAATCCAACAAAAATTCCTTTGCACACACGCGCGCGATTATTTTATTTAAAATGAGATTTACTTTACACCCGTTAATTGGATGGCAACGTTAAAGGACAGAGCTGCTTTCTGCGCGCGCCATAATAACGGCGAGATTTGCATTTAATCAGGCCGAGAACTCCTCGCTGAGTTTCTTGCCGGCCATTGTAAATGCAGCATAGCAAGAATGTCCGTGCGCGTTTTATCTCGCTGCTATTCCGCACGCGAAAGCCGTGAAAACGCCCGCCCGTTGTTGTGCCGCACGTCGAATCGCACGAGTTCTCCATAAATGTTTGCAGTTATGGACGAACACAGAACGTCACAGAACAGTGTTATTGTTCACTTGTCGAGACTTTGAGAGTTCCGCTGTCGCATTTGCATCCTAACGATAAATGTTCTAAAAAGAATTCTCATGCCGGCGTACCGAAAGTTTCCGCGCAATCGCAGCGCGACTTTGCCATTACGCGGTATCAGTTGTACAGATATAGAAAAGCAAATGTTTATCACAGGCACAGGAATGTGTTAAATAAAAATATTTGTGTTTACGATTACATTGCTCAGTTATGGAAGAAAAATTTAATCACAATCGATCAAAGTTTAATTACGTTATATTATATGTGTAAGTTTGCAAAATCTAAGTAACATGTAACACATTTGTTCCAAAAAATTGTTACAAAAATAAAAAATCTATTTTGAGCAAAATTTTGTAAGTATTTCGATAAAAAGGCCTTTTTTTCTGTAGCGTGCAATTCTACAATTTGCTTTAGTACATAGTCTCAAGTCCATGTACCATAATCTGGGATCTCTTTCAGGTTGTCCCGAGCGGTAAACTCTGCCCGGCATAATTTTAATCCATATCCAACCGCTTTGTGCTTACAGAGCCGTTAATTCTTTATTTACTTAAGGCGGAAAAAAATTATCTTTCGGCAATTTTGCACAATAAATAAAGGGATTTTGTAACGTTAGCGGGAATATTTAACTTAGATTCTAACTGTACGTTATTTTAATAAGAACGAAAGATCGGTACCAAGCACACGCCATGCTTCATTCCGTATTATTTCACACCTTACCACGTCAAGCTGCCGTTCCGTGTTAACATTAATCTCGAAGGCTGATCGCGTTGATTAATGTTGCGAAATTGCTACTTTGAAAAACGATAGAACGTAATTTCCGTAGTATAACTTTCGCACGACGTTAAGTTGTCGTGTTATTCCGAAATACCTGTGTCTCGGCCAGTAAACTCTGCCCGGCTTATAGTTTCAAACAGAAGACGAACAGGAGAACGAGCGAAAAGAAGTGGGAATTTCGAGGGGAGGGCGAGTTGAGAAGTGGTAGCGCACGGACCATGAAAGCAAGTGGACCGTCACCACACTGTATTTTTCTCAGGTTTCGATATCTAATAAAGTTTCTCTTCATATTTTACAAAATAAAGTGCTTCTTTGAGTAAATGATCCTGTTCCTAAAATAAGGGAAAAACAATGGATGCGTGGCAAATGTAGCGTGAAAATATTACTCACCACACGGTCACCCGGATGCTTGACGTAACAGTTCAGCTCCGCCGTCTGGCCGACGATGGCAGTGACATTTCGCGGTGCAATATCGTCGAATTGAGGTTTGTTGTCCCAGGATCTCGTCGGCTTGCTCCCTGCTACTACACTAGCGATACTGGAGCCACCTGAAACAAAATACGCCACTGTTACAGTGATGCAGTAGGAAATGCGAGATAATTCTGCAAGTATCACTTTTCACTTTTAAAAGTTTCAATTTTAAGAGAGATCATCGTGGAATGCTGCATTATCTGCGGGACAACTTTGCACCATGTTCAAAAATTATTTCAATGAAAAAAAATAACGCATAAAGGATAAATTATATAATAAAATTAAAATTTAAAGACAAATTTCTCAAACATCACAAGTATAGAATCTCAGCAATATTGTTTTTACCGTACAATAAATTAATCTCACACGACAGTCAGTAGTAGAGTTAGAATTGTGTAATCGTAATATAAATCAAACCTTTTTGTCATAATATAAAATATTAAGTTGCAGCTTGTTTGGTTTGTACATAAAAACGTCTCTAATGACGGTAATGAGAAGTCGTAATATAATATAATACACATAAACAAATGCATAATTTATTTTATACATAAATGAATAATGCAATTATGAACGACCACATACTGACTCTAGAGTTACTTATCTTTCCTACTTATATTACTTTGCAATTTTCTCCACCCGCGGGAATTGAAACTTTTTCAGTCATAGAATCAAAACATGAAGCATGTCACGCATTCTAGCTTAAGTACTCGAAACTTTGTTATTGATCAAAATTCCATTTCCAATACCAAATACCTACAATGCGCGAACCGAGCAACGAGAAAAAGGAGAAGAAAAAAAAAAGAAAAACGAAAGAGCAATTTATCCATGAACAATTTTCTCCATAAGGTTTTCTCATACTATATTTTATAAAACAATATTTAATTCATCAACATGTACCTTCCTTCACTCACAATCGGATCTAATTTATTTGTTTTACGAATCCAGCAAAAAGGAAATGTTTTTCTTTTGTAGAAGCTATATATGTGTATAAAAAATAAACAGATATTTTATATTTTGCATTTAAAAATATCCAGCAACATGTACAATAAATATGTGTGGACATCACGCTGTCGCCGCTGAAAATTATCGGAAGAAATATTGTTTGAGAGAGCGTGTCGACAAGCTTAGCAAAGCACATAAATCCACGGGCAAATCTTATCTAACGAAACATTGAGCGGGCTATATAACTCACGCTAAGTCAAAGTCGAAGTTAGATGAATATGGAAACTCAATGCGCCGTACATTCAAACGAGATTAGACGCGGAACCCGCTTTACAACATCAGAAGCTGCAGCTTGAGTGGACTGAAAGTTGCGCCGGGTTGCGCATACCGTAGGTAATTGTAATAAGTACTTGATTAAGCCCGAACTTCCGTGAATTATAAAGCGTCACTCACAGCCATTACTCACAGTCCCTATGTACAGTCTAATGTTCACGAAGCGCGATGCTGTTCGCGCCAAGAATATGGTTATCTTCTTTGATCGCATGCATCGATGCAAATAATTTAGAAATTAGTAACTGTACGGCGCATTAACGTGTCTGTGTGCGCGCACTTTCCGCTTTCCGTCTTACTTCTGCACTGCAATGTTGCTAACAGGGAGTATTTGATATAATGTTTAAAAAAAATTCACTTTAAGATATGATGTTTAAAAGTCCGAAAAAATTTTCTTTACGTCACAAAAAGGTTTCTCTGGCAATTTATATGTTCAAATAAATTAAATAAATTACTACTAGATCAATTAACTGCGCATTAACATCCAATATATGGCCAATCATATATTAACGTGTATTTTTAATTGCATTTCTAACAGCGTTAATTACATAACCGATTTACGGAATATCGATTAATATCTTATAATGATTTACCATTGTAAAATAGTACATCCAATTCTCAATATTAATTAAAGTCATTTACCTATGAAGCATATCGATAAATGCGCTTCAAATATATAAATAACACTAGTAAATATATAATTTTGAGCTAATTGTAATCGAATCACTCATATACGTGACAACAAATTAAAATTTAATTTACTTCCAGATAATTAAACATATTGATTTAAAAGAAAAAGCATTAATACCATTCGTATAATGAGTTAATCCCATGATGTATAATGTACTTTCTAGTGCAAGTTTTATTCAATTTATATAAATTGCTCGACTTGCCATTAAACGAGGTTTCGACGATCGCGGAGATCGTCATTATCATAATCCCATAGGAGTAGCTGAATACGATGGAAAGGAACGGGCGAATCAAGGGATGGCATTGGAAAGCCCAATAGAACGGCCGCGCAACGGGCAAGAAAGGCGAGATAGAACGCGTCCGATAAAATTTTCCATTGTATGCCGGGGAAAATGGTACTTGGGTGCGAGTAGAAATTGAAATTGTTACGAGGTACATGTGGAAATTGCGGAAATCGCGTGACGATGTTCAGAGCGTAACGAAGGTGTGACGGGATCAAAAAGGTCGGTAGCTTGAAAATGCTGACGCGCTGCGAAATTAATTCACCGTGATTTTATAGCGAGATTAATTCATAACTACGACAATGTAATGGAAATTTTGCAGCTCAAAGTGTTGCTTTCGTTGTCAAAAATGGAGAAACGAGTTCTCATAAGGTGCGAGATAGAAATTTTATATACAAGTCCGATTATACATATATTTTATTAAATCCGATAATACTTATACTACGTGTAGCATATGTAGCATGGTAGCAAGACGGATATTGCAATATCTTACATAACATATGTACCGGCATTGCGTTCCTATCCATAGAGAAATTTTCAAGTATAAATTTTTATTATAAAGTATTCTACAATCTATAAATCTCACAAGCTAAATTTAAAAATCTAATTTTGCACAGTATAAAAAGATAAAAATCTACTGTATTTATATATTTTATAAAGAAGTTTTTTTTTTATTCTTTGATTGAATTGTTAAATTTGATATAACTATATAATTAATAAAATTCTTTATAAACTTTGTATTTGAAATATATAGAACATCATTTTCACATTATCTAAACTTTTACATTCCTCGGCAAGGGCATGATTCGCCATGGAGGGAGATTCAATAAAGCATTCTCTCCCAACTTTCAATGAGTACCGGCAAATGAAAGCTATCGTGCTCGATTTCCTATACGCAAAGGCTATCCCCCTCACTGTATCTTGCACGAATTCAATAAGGTGCTGCATTCTCTGCACTCCGCGGCAACAATAACTTCTTGTTATGGTACGGGTTAAGCAAACACCGCACGCGGGTCACGAGAACAATACAGGCACTACCCACTCGCCGGATGATTTTCCAAACTTCGTACCTTCCAGTCTCGGCACGTAATCCGAGTTGTTTGATCTCTAGCTTTCAACTGGGCAGAAAACAACCCTAGTGAAATTTTCCACTTCGCCCTTAAATTTAACAGCAACATAAGCAATGTATTCTTTATTTCTAATTTTATCTTCGTACTCCATAAAGTACGCTAAATTTTGCAAGAATAAACAATAACGATAAATTAATAACAATATAAAATCTGTAAAGAATGTATGCACTGCAATGTAAAGAATAATAATACTTTAACACTTTAACAATGTAAAGTAACACTTAGCCAACCGATGAGATAGATCTATCTCATTACACCACCACCGCCATAAGCGCTTAATATGTACAAACACGATAAACATCAATAATTGCCGTAGTTCAAAGTTTAAAATAAAAAATAACATCAGTTTTTTTTCAAAACTCGATTGAACACAACGCGTATAATTTTCTTCTTAAATTGAGAAAAAATAAGTTTTACAGTTCATAATTTCAAAGTTGAATTTCATAAATTCCTTATCTTTATGTTACAAAAGTTGAAAATAAAACACATCATTATGCGCGGCAACCTGTGCAATGCCTGTGCAGTTAGACATAATAACGCGTGCGGTTGACAAAGCGATAAGATAGATTTTTATATCATAGCAAACGTAAAAAAGTAGGAAAATTGTAAGAGATTTCAAAATTAACATGTATATTAGATTCTCACACCATAAGTTTCTAATTATAAAATATTTAATATATAATACCTTGAAATATTTAAAACTTCGTGGAAAAACGTATCGCACGTTAGCTTTTAAACCTTGACGCGAAAATACATCGCCATAAACGAATTTGTGTTACTGACGTGTTTTCTACCCTTTAATAATTTGCACGAAAAGCGAAAATTCTTTCTCACGTTGATGTGACCATGCGCCACGAAAAGCAAACGCGGTAATACCGTTAATGTCAAAGCGCGTTGCGCTTTATTCACGATCTACACCGTATTTCACCGCGCTAAGCCGTGTCGAATCTTGGCCGGCTCTGAAACAATATTTATTTGCCGTTACGATAGCGAAAAGCGAAGCAAATGCCTGTACAAAGTGTCCCGCCGTTACGATACTCGGCCATAGTTTTCCGACCAGTTCCTATTCCAGTCGCACTTGGCTCTGAATTGCTCTGGCGATATTTCGAAATGGATCGTATCATCGATTTCGGCATCGAGTGCATTGCCGAAGGGTCCGTTCTTTTCTAGCCATTTTATTCTGTTGCTCGTTTCGTCGCAATTCGTCGCGGTGCACGCTCGATCGGCTCGCAGCACTATGAGTGCGTATTCCTTTTCACCTGCGATCGAGAAGCCGGATTTTGCCATTCGGATAAATCGACGACTCGCGAGCGACATTGATGGCAATCGCGCGAGCTAAGTCGAGGTCGGAAAATGATATCTGTTTTTATCACTTTCTGCTCTCAATCTGTGACGAGATCGAATCAAATATATTACCAAGTGTATAATTTGTCTGATTCCGGAAGAATTGATTTCCGGGAGAAAAATTACTTTTTAAATAGTAAAATTAAAACAATCTATGTGTGTGACTCATTCATTACACTACTTGGCCACATTTTAAACAAGATTATCTTATTTCGATAATATATCAAAAATATAAAAAGTTGCAAAATTAAAATATTTATTATTAAAATGTGCAAACAATGCTGACTAAAATTAAAAGATATTTGAATTTGGTTATATTTTCCAGCCCCGAGGAACAATGTTAGAGAATGTGAAATAAAC